AAAAAAAAAAAAAAAAAAGAAAAACTTCTAAAATTCTTCCAAAAATAAATTAAAAGGAAGGGACGGGCCCACCCCACAACCCCTCCTGTCCTGTGCAAAGAGAAAAGAGCCACCCCCTCTGCATCCCAGGCCTGAGCCACGCTCCAGTAAGGAAAGAAATGGGCAAAGCAAGGAGCTGGGGGCCCGGGCAGCAGGCCCCCAGTGTGGGGCTGGGAGTGGGGCATCCCCAAAGGGGTGGGCAGCTCCCCTCCTCCCCGCCTTGGCTCCAGCACAAGCTTGGCCCCACCCAGCAGATGGAGAAACTGAGGCAGGAGCATCGGGTACCCCCTCCTCCTCTCCGGCCAGGGCTGGGATGTGCCCACCGGCGCTGGAGCCCGCCACACGCCCCCCGAGCCCCAGGCAGGGCAGGGCGGGGGGCTCTGCCAGCTGCCGGGGAGGCGAAGTGCTGTCGGAAAGGCGACCTATGAACATCCCTGAGGGTGGTGGCTCCGCCAGCCCCTCCCCGGCCCTGCCCTGCCTGTGCCCGGGGGGCTCCGGGCCGCCCCCGCTATGAGGTCTGGCACTGAACGTGCTGGCGCATCCCGTCCTCGAAGTCGTCCTCGTGGTAAGCCTCTCCGCTGTAGGGCCGGCGGCCCGGCCCCCCGTGCGCCGTGTAATCGCTGAGCTCCACCTCCTCCGTGTCCTCCGTGGCCATCACCTCCTCCTGCGGCGGGAAGAAGGCCTGCAGCTGGCGCAGGCGGTCCGCGGGGAGCCAGCCCGGCTCGGGGAACTTCACCTGAGGGCACAGAGCGGCTGGCAGGCGTGGGCTGGCCACTCGGGAAGGCCACAGGTGGGGCATGGCCACCTGAGCTCACCTCGAACTGCAGGATGAGTTTTCCTTTCTGAAAGGGGCTCCTGTAGACGGGCATGCCCTCGTTGGGGATGCACTTCAGGTCCCCGGGCCGGATCACGTCACCTGAGAGAGAGAGGTGGCGGTCACCGCGCTGCGCCGGCGGCTGCTGGCGCGTCGCTGAGCCCCGAGTCCCCTCACCTGGCGGGGAGGACACGAGCAGGGTGCGGTTGTCCAGGGTGCGGATCACCTGCCGGCACCCACACAGGGCGTCTGCCAGGCTGATCTCCCTCCTGACAATGAGGTCGTCGCCGCTGCGCCGGAAAACAGGGTGCTCCTTCTGATCCAGGACGATGATGATGTCCCCGGGCTCCAGGCCGGGCACCTGGTCCCCTTCCTCGTGGAAGGTGATTTTCTGCCCGTCCTTCATGCCTGTGAGGAGCGTGCAGGAAGCTCAGAGCCCGCGTGGCACTTTGGGGTGAGCCCGCTCCGCCTTCAGCCCCGGCTCACCTTTGTCCAGGTGCACGCTGAGGATCTTCTTCTCCCGCACGACCTTGCGGCCGTTGCAGGTGAGGCAGCAGTCCCGGGGCCGGATCCACTCGCCCTGGCCCTGGCACTGGGAACACACGGTCTGGATCTGCTGGATCATGCTGGGCCCCAGCTGGTGGATGCGAACCTCCATGCCCGAGCCGTGGCACTTGGGGCACCTCCTCTGGGCGCCCTCCCGCACCCCGCAGCCTGCGCCGAGGGGGGCAGGGGGTCAGGCACTGGGGAAGGGGGTGCTGGGGCGGCCCCCCGGGCCCTGCAGCCCCTCGCTCACCTCCACACTTGCGGCAGATGATGTTCTTCTGCAGGGACAGCTTCCGTGTGGAGCCGTTGTACAGATCCTCCAGCGACACCGAGAGCTGGTGCACCACGGTCTTCCCTGGGCACAGGGCAGAGCCTGGCTCAGCACCAGCCACGTGCCACCCCCTGTGCCACGGCCAGACAGGCACTGGACACCGGGTGAGCCAGTCCTGCTCCTTCCCCAAGGAGGGAAGCAGGGACACCACGGACAGGGACAGTTCCACCCCAAGCCCCGATCCTGCCCTGGGGCAGTGCCGGGGTGGGCAGGGCACGGCTCCCACCCCGGCTCCCACCCCGGGGCTCTCAGCTGCCCTCCAGCTGGAGTGGCTGGGACGATTCCCTCCTAATTGCCCTGCTATTAACTCCTGCCGTCTCAGCAAGAAGCGCCTGGCGAGTCAGCCCGTCCCTGTGACCCAGGCCCAAGGCACGCCGAGAGTCACCGGGCCGGCCCCGCACGCCCCGCGTCCTGCTGCCAGCCCGGGGCCGCAGCGCTGACTCAGCCCGGCCCCGGGCACGGCGGGGGAAAGCCGGGACAGGGACAGGGAAGGGCCCTTTGAAGAGAGGCAGGTGGAGAAAGTAATGAGGGTGCTGAGGAGCTGCACCGGGCTGTGCCGCGGGGGCAGAGACAGTCGGGGGAGCCCGGCTGGATCCCCAGAGCCAGTGCCACGCTGGGCACCGGCCCCCTCTCACCCCAGGGTCCCAGCCCGGCAGGGCTGTCACCCCCTGAGACAGTGACACTGACACACGGGGTCCCTGCAGGTCTGTGACCCCCCCCCAAGCCAGTGTCACACCGTGTTTGGGTGCCAGCCCCCTCCCTGCGGTCCCCTGTCCTCTGAGCCAGTGCTGTGCTCTGGGGAGCTCTGGGGGATCCTTCCCACCAAAAGGTGCCAGCAGGGTTGTCACCTCCTCACCATGCTGGGCAAAAGCCCCTTCCCACCGAGAGGTGCCAGCAGGATTGTCACCTCCTGTCACCTCTTCACCATGCTGGGCAGCAGCCCCCTCCCACCAAAAGGTGCCAACAGGGTTGTCACCTCCCCGCCATGCTGGGCACCAGCCCCTTCCCACCAAAAGGTGCCAGCAGGGTTGTCATCTCCTCACCATGCTGGGCAGCAGCCCCTTCCCACCAAAAGGTGCCAGCAGGGTTCTCACCTCCTGTCACCTCCCCACCACGCTGGGCAGCAGCCCCTTCCCACCAAAAGGTGCCAGCAGGGTTCTCACCTCCTGTCACCTCCCCACCACGCTGGGCACCAGCTCCTTCCCACCGAGAGGTGCCAGCAGGGTTGTCACCCCTGAGTGAGCACCGTGCTGGGCACCAGCCCCGTGCCAGCCCGGGCTGACGGCGAGTCCCTCACCCCGTACCTCTCCTGTCTGCCCGGCCGCGCATCCTCACTCCCCCTCCGAAGAAGAGGTCGAAGATGTCCATGGGCGAGCCGAAGCCGCCGCCGCCCCCGCGGCCGCCCAGGCCCCCTTCCTTCATGGCCCGCTCGCCGCCGCGGTCGTACAGCGCCCGTTTGTGGGCGTCCGACAGCACCTCGTAGGCCTGGGAGATCTGCTTGAACTGGGGAGGGGGAGAGGCGGGTGAGGCGGGCCAGGGCCGCCGGGGGGGGGGCCGGGGGGCCGCACGTACCCGCTCGCCCTCGCTGGGGTTCTTGTCGGGGTGGTAGCGCAGCGCCAGGCGCCGGTACGCCCGCTTGATCTCGTCCAGGCTGGCGCCCGGCCGCACGCCCAGCAGGTCGTAGTAGCCCGTCTCCTTCACCATCTTCCTGCCTGTGATGTGCTGGGACGGGACAGAGCCGTGAACCCGGCGCCGTGAGCCCGGCGCCGTGAGCCCGGTGCCGTGAGCCCGGTGCCGTGAGCCTGGCACCATGAGCCAGCCCACCATGAGCTGGGACCCCCGACCCGGCCCACGACAGCCCCCCTAAACCCCCGCTGATCCCTGCTCTTGGTTTCCTCAGTTTCCCCCCAGCGAGACAGGGGATGGCGACAACAACGTGACAGCGGTGACAGCCAGCCCCACACAGGCGTCCTGCAAGTCCCGTCCCACCGCGGGACCCCCCGAAAAAGCTTTGATCCCTGTTCTCCCCCATGCACAGCCCCGCCTCATGCGTCCCCGCGGCTGCCGGGGGATGTGCGAAGCGGCTGCGGGGACATCGAGGCACCGCGCGGGGGTCCGGCCCCGGGGGTGGCCGGGGCCATGTGCCGCAGCCGATAAGCCCCGCGTGGGGCGGGGACGCGTTTATCTTGCGACACGGGGGGACGCGGGGCAGCGCCCGTGAGGCACGCACGAGTAAATAAATAAACAAGCGCTTCCCGCTGCGCACCGCTCTGACCGGGACCGGAGCTGGGTGCGACCCCCGGGGCTGGGTCGGTGCCGCCCGGTCCAACGCTGGGGACCCCCGGGGCTGGGTCGGTCCCGCCCGGTCCAACGCGGGATCCCCGCACTGGAACTGGGTCGGTGCCGCCCGGTCCAACGCGGGATCCCCGCAACGGAGCTGGGGACCCCCGTGGCTGGGTCCCGCCCGGTCCAACGCGGGATCCCCGCACTGGAGCTGGGGACCCCCGGGGCTGGGTCCTGCCCGGTGCCACGCGGGATCCCCGCACTGGAGCTGCTCCATCCCCCGGGACCCCCGGGCTGGGTCGGTCCCGCTCGGTCCCACCGCCCCGAGGGTGGCGGACCGGCGGTGTGCAGGGGTACCGGCAGCACGGCAGTGGCGCGGTGACATCCCGGACCCCGGAGCGCTGTGACGGAGCGGAGCCGAGCCCGGCGCTCACGGAGGAGCGGCCGCCTCCGAGCCCCCCCCGGAGCCCCGCAGGCCCTCAGGTCATCCCGAGGAGCCGCGCGGGGCTGCGCGGGCCCGGCCCGCCCTGACCGCGGCGGGGCGGCCCGGGGGGGTCGCGGAGGTGCCGGGGGCTCGGGGGGCTCGGGGGGCTCCGGGCGCTCCGGGGTCGCGGCGGGGTCCCGGGGCCGCCCCCCCCACTCACCGCCGCCGCCGCTCCGCCGCCGTCTCCGAACTCTCTGGAAGCCGCGGGCACGCCCCCCGCGCCGGCCCCGCCCCCTCCACGCCGCACGCCGCGCCCATTGGTGGAAACGCCCTCCTCCGCCCGCCCATCACCCCGCAGCCCCGGCGCTGATTGGTTGTGGGGGCGGTTCTCGCCGGGCTAGGGTGGAGGGGCGGCGCTTCGCGTTGCGATTGGCTGAGACAGCGGTTGGGCGGGGACTCACGGGTGGATACTACTCTCTGATTGGCTGGCAGCGGGTGGCCAATCAGAGGGAAGAGTGGGAGGTGCGGGTGCGGCGGGCGTCCGGCAGGGGGCGCGCTGGGCGCGCGCAGGGCGGGGCAGTGGGCGGGGCAAAGAAGTGGGCGGGGCCAATAGAGCGTGATTATTATAATGAGCGTGGCTATGGGCGTGGTCAAAGAAATGGGCGTGGCCATGGGCATGGTCACACCAGTGGGTGTGGCAGTGGGCGTGGCCAGAACTGGGGGCGTGGCCTGGGGGACATGGGGGTGACCCCCGCAGATTTTTGGGGTGCTGGGTGGGGGCACCGGGCGTTCTGGGGGGGCTGAGGGCTCCCGGGGGGTCTGGGGGTCCCAGGGGGTGTCCCAGGGGTCCGGGATGATGGTGGGGGGTCCTGGGGAGCATCCTGGGGGTCCCGGTGAGGGCACTCCTTGAGGGGTCCCCTGGGTCCTCCCGGGGGTGGTCACAGGGTGGTCCCCGGAGCTCTGGGGGATCCTAAAAGGGTCATGGGGGGGGGCTGGAGCAGGGAGGGGGCTGGGGGCTGAACTGGGGGGGTCTGAACTTGTCTGTCCAGGGGGCACTTGAGGGACTGGGGGCTGGCCAGGGGTCAGGACTGGGGGGCTGGGGTCTCTCCAGGGGGCAGAACTGGGGGCTGGGGTCTGGAAAAGGGGCAGAACTGGGGGGCTGGGGTCTGAACTGGGGAGCTGGGGTCTCTCCAGGGGGCAGAATTGGGAGGCTGGGGTCTGATTGGGGGGCTGGGGTCTGATCCGGGGGCTGGCATCCCCCGGTTCCCTTTGTCCCCACTCGGGGGGGGCAGTGGGGGGGTCAGGGCCGCTCCTCCAGACCCCTCCAGGCTCTGGTGCCCCCCTGTGCCCCCCAATGGCCTCAGCCGGGCTGCGAGGTCAGGACCCCCTCGGGGAGGAGGAGGAGGAGGAGGAGGAGGAGGGGGAAAGGGAGGGGGAGGAGGATGCCAGAGCTGCTGGCGGGGTTTGGGGGTGCAGGGACCCCCTGTCATCCCCTCCCCTCGCCCTGCCCTGCTCCAGCCCGGCCCTGCTGTGCCCCCCGGCCGGGTTCGGGCAGGGGGCGGCTCCCGGGGGGCTGCCGGGCAGGCTCGGGGGGTCCCCCCTGCCCGAAACCCGAGCCCGGCCGGCAGCTGCTGCCCCCGGGCCAGCTGGCCCCGGAACGCGGCAGAATTCCCGCAGAATTCCCGCAGAATTCCCGCAGAATTCCGGCCGCAAGCGGCGGCTCCCCGAACTGGGAACGGGGATTGCAAACTGGGAATGGACTCCCCAAACTGGGAACAGGGTCCCTGAACTGGGAATGGGGTCTCTAAACTGGAATGGGGTCTCTAAACTGGGCACAGGGTTCCCAAACTGGGAGTGGGGTTTTTAACTGGAAATGAGAATTCTAAAGTGGGAATGGAGGGAATGGGGTTTTCTGAACTGGGAATGGGGTCTCTAAACTGGGAATGGAGTCTCTAAAATGGGAATAAGGTTCTTAAGCTGGAAATGGGGTTTCTAAATTGGGAGTGGGGTTTC